GAGTCTCGACACATCTAGGAAAGGAAACCAGCGGGTGTTCTGCCCACAGAAGCTCCTTCTCTGAGAAGCCCAGCACCGCTCACTGCTCACCGAGATTCCTCCGAAGGTGACATTCTGCCAATTTAGAGATTCAGGAGAAGTCTGTTCTCTTAAAACGAATGCTAGGCTGGTAATGACGCATTCCCGGGGGTGTCCAACCCGCGGCCCAGCACAAAATCGTAAATTTACTTAAAACTTTTATTTTTTTGCTCATTAGTTTTCATTAATGTTTGTGTATTTAATGTGTGGCCCAAGACAACTCTTCTTCCAGTGGGGCCCAGAGACACCAAAAGTTTGGACACCCTTGTGATGAGAAAGATATATTTTTATGGAATAGACTTAACTATAAAGCATATCTGCAGCTATATTAACTATGAGTACTGAGCTTTGATATGTGTGAATAAATTAAACCATCAAGCAACAGATCTAATGAGCATTGGGACAACCCTAGCTGTAGAGGGGTTATGTTCCTAAGAATACACAGAAAAAGCATTTTATTTATTTTTGAACTGCATTGGTAATTGAACATAATTGAGAGTTTGTGGACATAGACACCAGAGTCTACAGAATGGCATCTGTCACAACTTCCCACACTACATCACAGCCTTTTGTCTGTGTTACCCACATTGTAATGGAAACACCCCAAGTTCACGGCCAAACCAGAGGCCCACACACTGTGCTGCATTCCACTTGGGGGTTTCTGTTGTTTGTTTGCTGGCAAGTCTTACAGAAGCCTGTGGATCGTGACATCTGCCCGTGTCTCAATCAACAAGTGAGTGAGTTTTGTTTGTGTGGCACGTGGAAGTTCATATCTAAGTGCACGCCTGTCCATCGCTCAGCTAAGTCACTCTGTGGAATGGCAGCCTTGGATCGTCTGGCCCGGCCGTCTGCAGGGGCCTCAGACAGACACTAGTCCCCTCCCACAAGTGCACGACCCGGAGGGCAGCTTCGGAGTCACAAGCCAATTTCGGTCCCGTTATCACTCCCCGTAGCCCTTGGGATCGACTGTCTCCTCTGCTTCCAGTGCCTGTATGGCTTGTGTGCCCCTTTAGCTCAGAGCCCCATGCGATGCGCCAAGAAGACCAGGCTCACTTGGTTTGGCACTTGGTTTGAATGCACCCACATGGCTCTAGCTAGGGAACCCCAAAGCGCTCCACCCAGGGACCCCAGCAAAGGCTTGTGCTCCCCCCAAGCCTCCGTCCTACCTTTTGTGATCTGTACTCTGCCTTGCCCTTCCCAAGTGGCCCACGTGGGCATGCTGTGGACCTCCTCCAGCCTGTGAGTGAGAAGGTTCTCTGTGCCAGCTTCTCTTGTGGTCTGTTGGTGAACCAGCTCCCCCTCCTGCACCTCGGCAGAACGCGCGTTAATTTAACTAAGTCTTGACAACTGGCCTCACACACAGGGTGGAAGGGCCCCGGCCTGGAATTGGCCTCGGGGGAGACATTTTAGCTGCAAAAGTCTGGCTGATGGGCTCCCCAAGGTGGACAGCGGTGTCTGGGGGTCCCACCACAAAGTGCCAGCTCCCAAAGAAACACCCGCGTCCTCCTGGACCTCAGAGCATTGCCATCCCGGGAGGGTGAGTGTGTGCCTGTCACCCCACAAGGTGCTAGAGTTCAGGTGTGCTTCCCCACCGCCAGTACCGTCCCAGCTGCCGACTGTTGGGAGAATTGGCCACGATTTTCATGAGATCCTGCTGCGTTGGTTAATGGCTGGAACACAGGAGAGGCAACCCTCCCCAAGTACATTACCCGGTGAAGGTGCCAGGCAGTGCCCTGAGAAGGACAGGGAGATGGGGTGGCACGAGGACGCTGAGTGCTAACCAGACGGTAGGGGGCGCCATCACCAGGACCGCGTGGCTCCTGGCAAAGGCTAGTGCGCCCTCTGGTGTTGCACACGGTGCTGCTGTCTCACCGGTCCCCTGACCCTAGGGGATGTTCTGGATCGCACCCCTGGCGCATGGTGGCGCAAACTAATGTTCCGATGCAAACAGCCTGAGCGCCTGTTGCCAGGCCACCTGTAAAGAGCCTATGGAGCGGCCTGGGCGCCGCCCAGCGCCTGGTGCCCTCACATGACAAAGTGCTGGCTGGACCTCTGCTGTCGCCGGGTCTGGGGGCCACCATTGCGCAGCAGAGGTCGACCCTAATGCTGGAGGGTCGATGGGGACACCCTGGAGAGGGAAGGGGCCACCTGCAAGTCCAGCTCCCGGGGAGGTCCACCACGAATCTTCCCGGTAGCAATCCATAAGGCCGAGTCAGTTCGGGGTGGTACAGCTTGAATGTCAAACTCCAAACTGAATTGTATATTTGAAAGGTGCTGAGAGAGAGGGTCCTAAAAGTTCTTTTCACAAGAAAAAGCAAATTGGGAGTGTGTGAGGTGACAGATAACGAGACTTCCTGTGACGACCACTTCCCAGCGTATGCAAATGTGGGGTCATGACACTGTACGCCTGAAACTGATGTAACATCCTGTGTCCGCTATTGCTGAATAAAGAAAAAAGAAACTGAACTGAGACTTTGTGCCTCTCGAAACTCAAAACATCTGAAAAGATTTGGTACATAACAAAAATTTTAAAGGAAAAAAAATACAAAAGAAAAAAGAACCCCCCCAAAAAGGAAAAAAAAAACCATGAAAGAAACCAAAAAGAAACAAGTCGAAGACAAAAATACACGAGACTGTGAGCAGCGGGAGGGAGGAAAAGGGGTGGACTGGCTGGGGAGAGGCTTCAGTGCTCACCTCGTGCTCGCTGTGGGCTGAAGAAGTGCAGCCTTTAGCGATGTTTCTAAAGACCCCAAATGCACGGCCCTTTAAAAGCACACTAGTAGCTAGGGCTGGGAGGCTGAGCCCCTCCCCACTGTAGCTGAAAGGTAAACAACCTCTCACTCCAAAACAACTACAGCTGCCTTTGGGCAAATACCCAGACTGCTCACCCCAAGGAGGCCCCCTGCCCGCTAGTCTCCAGCAAAAGGCCTCCTGGGCGGTGGCTGTCACTCCCGGGTGTTCAGCCCCGACTCTGTGTTGCTGGTGGACCCCTTGGGCCTGCAATGACTCAGGAAATGCACTGGAACCAATTAGCGTGCGGGTAGCTGCACCACAGAGGGCCCTGCATCCCTAAGCCTGTCCTGAGGAGCAGATATGGGGAGGCGGGGTTGTCTAGCGTTTGGTCACGAGAACTTCTGGGAGAAGCAGGAGGTGAGTATGGAGACAGCCTGGAGAGATGGTTGGAGGCCATCTTTCATGGCACTTCGATGGTTGGCACGCCTTGTCGCCTGCCCAGACACAGTCCTCCCCGGGCTCTGAGTCAGCCTCCACGGGCACGCAGTTGCTCCCACCAAGAGGTCAGGGAGGCGGCATCTACCGGCACTGAGTCTGCCTCCTAGACCGCGTTCCTGAATGGACCCTTCAGGGTGTATTTCCCAGAACAGCTCCCTCCCTCAGCATCTGGGACTCTGGCCTTGGGGTACGGTCAGGGCTCTCACATTTTCCAAGTGCAGTCGTTACGCCAAGCTACCCTGCCGTTGCTGCTGAGGCCCTGCGCGATGGGAAGGGGGGTTCTCACAGCTGGCTCTGATGCTCTGAGGGACAGACTTGGGGAGGATACAGTCTTCTAGATCCTTCCCCTTGGCAGGAGTTGAGCTGTGTCTGGACCCTGTAACCTCCAAGCCACCCAGAGCTTGTCCATGGTGTGTTCCTCTCGCAGCTATTTAGTAAGAACTGCCAAGGTCATTGATCTTGAAATATAAGAATAGGGTCTGAGATGTAGCTTTATAGAGCTTACAATCTAATTGTGTGTGTGTGGGGGGGAGATAGTGGGGGATAGGTGAGTGGGAAATAAAGCAGTTATTTGTATTTTAGAGCGACAATAATAACTGAGAGGAGGAAGACAAGGGTACTCTCTTAGCTTGTTCAGGCCACTATATCAAAATACCAGACTGAGCAGCTTACGGAAGAACAGAAATTCATTTCTCATGGTTCTGGAGACTGGAAGTCCAAAGTCAAGGCAGGGGAGCAAGTTTTGCACACCTCTAAACCCATGTAATCACCACTCAAATCATGACACAGAACATTTCCAGTGCTCAAGAAATCTCCCTGCAGTCCAATCCTTCCCCAGGGAACCACCATCGGGACACTGGCTGGCACAAATGAGTGTGATGTTGGCCTTTTAAAAATTTTATTTATTTGTTTATTTATTTTTAGAGAGGGGAAGGGAGGGAGAAAGAAGAGAGGAACATCAATGCGTGGTTGCCTCTCAAGCGCCCCCTACTGGAGACCTGGCCTGCAACCCAGGCATGTGCCCTGACTGGGAATCAAACCACATACCTTTCAGTTCCCAGGCTGGCGTTCAATCCAGTGAGCCACGCCAGCCAGAGCTGATGTTGGCCTTTATTTCAACGGAAGCGTACAGCACGTACTCTTTGTATCTTCTTGTGCTCAGTATTGAGTCTCTGTTGTGCTTATTTTTGGCTGATAACAGTAGGCGGGTCTTTCTCATTGCCCTGACTTATTCCACTGCATGACTGTGCAGTGCATTGTTTGCCTCTATCAAGGTCATGAACATTTGGATTGTTTTCAAGTTTTTTGTCTATTACAAACTCCTTGTAGGTTAGCATTCATTTCTCTTCAAATGATACTTTGTGGCTAGAGTTTCGAGCAGAGGTCCCTAACCAGCAGTGATTCTGCCCCCCAGAGGACACGCTGGGCAATGATGTCTGATGACATTTTTGCTGATCCCAGCTCGGGAGTGGTGTGTGCTACTGCCATCTAGTGGGAAGAGACAGTGGTGCTGTTAACCATCCTACATTGCACAGAAATCCTCCCTGAGCCGGGCCGGCAGTTCCAAACGTCCACAAACGCCATCCAGGTTCTGTCCTGGAGGCATGCGGAGCCATCGGTGGCTCTGGGACGGTGAGGTCTCCGTCAGTCAGTGGGGGAGATTCAGAACAGATGCCACCTGGCATCCAGCATTAGGCGACTTCAGCCTGATGGGCAGTCCCCTGCGCCCCGGAGCTGAGCATGCGCTGCAGGGCGCCCTGCACGTCCCGGTTCCGCAGTGTGTAGATGGCCGGGTACAGCAGCGGCGTGAGGTTGATGTAGATGAGGGATGCCAGCTTGTCCTCCTCCAGGGAGCGGCTGCGCAGGGGTCTGGCGTACATGACTGTGGCACAGCCATAATGGAGCACAGCCACCGTGAGATGCGACGCCACTGTGTGGAAGGCCTTCCGGCGGCCCGCGGCCCCGCCGACGCCCAGAATGACTATCAGCACCCGGGTATAGGAGAGCAGGATCAGGGCCAGGGGCAGCACCAGCAGCAGCAGGCAGGCTGCCAGCAGGACGTGCTCCTGCAGGTCGCGGTTCCCACAGGCCAATACCAGCACGGCGGGCAGGTCACAGAAGACGTGGTTGACCATGCCGCTGCAGAAGGACAGCTGGAAGATGGCCGTGGTGAGGCCCACGGCCAGGACAGAGCCCCCAGCACAGCAGGAGGCCAAAAGGCACCAGCAGAGCCCTGGGGTCATGAGCTGAGGGTAGTAGAGGGGGCGGCAGATGGCCAGGTAGCGGTCCAGTGCCATGGCAGCCAGCAGCAGGCACTCGGAGCCACCCAGCGCCACAAAGAGGCCCATCTGGGCCGCACAGGTAGACGGGGCCACCGCCTGGCCACCAGGAGGCAGGAGGAAGCCAGCCAGCATGCGCGGAGTGAGCACAAGTGTATAAGCCGCCTCCACGGCGGACAAGGCCCCCAGGAAGAAGTACATGGGTGTGTGCAGGGCAGTGTCCACCACCGCCAGGACCAGGATCATGAGGTTTCCTGCCAGTGTCGCCAGGTAGAGTGGCAGGAGGAGGGCAAAGAGCAGCACCCGGAGCCACTGGGGCCACCCGGAGAAGCCAAGGATGACGAACTCCTGTGGGGCGGTCCAGTTTGAGCAGTGGCTCATGTTGGTGCCTGGGGGAGACACACGTGCAGGCGGGGAGGACGGTCAGGGTGGCCCAGCCTCCCAGGAAGTACACGTCCTCCGCCTCTCCTGGGCTCGGAACCCCCTGCCCAGTCTTCCAGGGGCCGCTGCTTGTTTCTCCCACCCCCTTGCCCCCTTCCAGGGACTCAGGGTCTTCCCTGCAATCCAGTACCTTCCATCCTCACCTCCCACAGCCCAGCATCCGACTGGGATTCAGCTGTGCAGAGCCGCTGTCTGCTCTCCCTCTGGCCCCCCATGCCCTGCACACCTCCCGGTGCCCAGGGGCCTTCGGCACACCTGTCCACCCCCCTCCGGGTCCTTCCCGTGTTCTAAACCCCACATCATCGGTACCTACGGAGCCAGGCAGTCTGCGTTCCAGCCCACAGGGACAAGATGAGGAAGCAGCGGGAGGGACTCCGAATTCCTAATGACAGCCTCCTTACCGCATGGGCTGGTTCTGAGTGATGGAGCCGGTCACGCCTGCAGACAGCCGCAGCGATGAAGGGGCTTGAGCATCTTAGAAGCTCCAGACACAGAAACCCCTGGACCCCCCTAGTTCTTTCTGCATAGCCACTCCTAGGCGGGATAAGGGGGGCACAGGGGGGCACCTCCAAGCTCTTTCCTAGTAAACCAGGTGTGCTCCTCTCCTCCTGCTCTGGATCTTGCTTCCTGTTTTATTTCTATTTTCCACTTCGTCCCCTTTGCCGGACTCAAGGAAAACCCATCCCAAGCTTGTCATTCCTCTCCGACTCAGTTACAGGGAAAATGACCAGGGAAGACGGCTCACCCTGCTCCGTGTTATGAGGAAAAGCAGCCTTCGTGACCCGTCACACAAAATGACCACCGTTCCTGAAGCTCTGATGACAGACCCTAAATCTAAGCACCCATCCCTCCCCCTAGCTGCAGACCCTTCGATTTCCACCCGCATGTCCCACCAACACTTCCAACTCAGCCTGTCCCCAGCTGAACATGTGATTCTAATCCCACCCCCCACCCCACCCCCGCTTCTGTGGACGGAGCTGGCTCAGGGCCACATGGGAAATCGAGAAGCCCCTGCAGGTGAACTCACAGTTCTGTGCCCTCCAGTGCCACCGGGTGCCACATCCTGCAGAAATACCCCACACTTCTGGAGGGTCCTCTTTCCTCTCATGACTGGATTTTTTACCCTTTTTTCTGCATAGTTACAGCAGATTCTACTCGGTGCCCCTGCTTCCAGCTGCTTCCTTCGATCACTTTTCATAGCACCAACTGGAAGGACCCTTCTGAACGACAGACACCAGGACGCTAGTTCTGAACTTCACTGGTCCTTCTTAACCTCTAGGACAAAGTCCAAAGTCCTCGGTGCAGCACCTGTGGTCCCTCAGCCCTGCGCGCCTGACTTCCAGCTTCGTCTCCTGCTGCGAGTTTGCACCACAGACCAAGTGGGAGTGGGTGGCCCACCACACCCTGTCCCCATGTCCCGGGACCCCCTGGCACCCGCACATCACCTGAGGGGGAAGCTGGGGAAGTTCTGTTCCTCCTCCAAGGCTGAGCTCACACGCTGCATCCCGGGGACACAGCCCTGTGCCCCAGGCAGGTTTGGTGTCCTCCTGGCCTCCCATGGTTGTCATGGCAACGCCACTAAACTCAGTCCCCTGGAATCAAAGGTGTGGGTCTTATCTGTTCTTTGCTGAGTTACTCTAAGCAAAGGAATTTGTCAGTCAGCCTTTATTTTCCCCTAAATGTACACCTCCTCTCGGTGTCCCTGTGGTGTCCCTCAGTGTCCCTGTCATGTCTCGGTTTTCGGGCCCTGGGACCCCAGAGTGAGAGGACTCACCCTTTACAAAGGCCCACTGTCCTCAACCTTTGTGGGCTCCTTCCCTGACGTGCCCCTCAGCATCAATGATTCATCTCAGGTGGGGTACACGTAATCAGTCAGCTTCAAGGTCAATGCCCTGTCCCCCCAAACCTACCAGAGTCATCTACATCTCCCCACCTAGCCATCGAAGTGCAACTGGCTACGTGGAAACACAGCTTCCAAACATTTCACATGTGACATTATGATGCCCACTGAAGCCCTCACACTATCTGACCAGGGTGGTGTTTAACCAATGGTTCCTCTCCTTGTGGGAGTCTGGTAGGGCATGTGGTCCTTTTTACAGAGCCTGGACCAACAGCCGCTGCGTTGTGACCATGCAGCCACCCCCGGGCACCAACCGTGTGACGGAGCCCTGGTCAGGGCGCTCCGGAGCCTGACTCTTCACCTGGAAGAGAGGAGAGTCGGACCACACGGTGTGCAGTTTCTTCCAGCTCTGATACTTTATGGTTCAACCAAAAGTTGTGTTTGTGGTTATGTATTTATTCCCAAGGTGAACCATTTCTTTTAAAGAGATCTTTCAGTGTTTCAAAAGCCCACAAAGAACTTGGGAGACATGAACTTAATTTAGAATTCTGACTCGGGCAGGGAGACGTCGGGTGAGGTGTATCATAGTTGATGTCGATCTCCGGATCTTAGAAGGGCCTTCGACCAGTGCACAGAGCAGAACAGCTCCTTACGGTTAGACCAGCGTGTCACTGCGAAGTGCCCACTTGCACAGGTGTGTGCAGTGCATTGTGGGGCACGTCCCCTCTCATCATTTGGCTCTAGGTGGCGTCAGATAATAGGTAAGTCTGGGGGCTGAGTCAGGAGGGTTGGTTTCTAGTCCTGTCTGTGATGTTGCCCAAGTCACCTCTTTCTGTGGGTCTCAGATTTCGCAGAGAGACAGACAGAGAGACAGACAGGGTCTCCCGTGTGCCCCAGGCTTCTGAACCTAAAGCTCCCTCCTTACAGAATTTCCTCCCTGTGACGAACGTGGGTCTCTGCTGCTTAATCAGGGGCCCTGCACTCAGGACCTGGCACCGGACCCTGCAGGAGCCACTGTCCGTGGCATCCCTGGAGGAAAAAGAGCAGAATATGAAAATTCTTTCAAGGGGACATCTGAACTCAGGGCCACCAGACCCGAATTCCCTCCTGAGCTCCTCGGTTCACTGGGCCCACTGCCCACTGTCCTACTCCTAAGCCCTGAGAGAGAGACAGACCCAGTGCCGGTGGGGACGAGGTGCTCTGAGTTGTGGCTGGAAGGAGTGCGGACTCCAGCCACTGCCCCGTGGACACCCTGTGCCTGTCTGGAGCCACCCTCACCGGCTCTGCTGCACCTGCCATTCACCACGGAGCCACACAGCCACCTGCACGTGCCACATCACTCTTTTCTCCCTGGCCTTGCACACACACACGCGCATCCCCGCAGCAGACTGTCCCGTCCGCACCTGGAAACCTACTCATGCTTCAAGGCCCACCCTGAAGGTCAGCTCCTCTGTGGACAGAAGTAATCAAGTGGCAGAGTAGAGTGTAGAAGCGTTTTATAGAGAATGGAGAGCAGACTGACTCCACCACATCGTTCCCCCTCTTCTCCCGTGGTCTTCCCACTTCAGGGCCCGGGGGCCCTCAGGAGGAGGTTACCTAATAAGTTTCCCAGGGCCCACTTAAGGGTCTGCCTTGGCCCAAAGCCCCGGGGCCTCATTAATGATCTTCTCCCCCACCTGTGGTCTCTAAGGAGCATGTGGTCTCAGAAGGCTGGGCACTGATGGGATGAGATGGGGGAGGACTTGGGAAACCTGAATGGGGGTCTCCTGGGAGATGCTGAAACTTTGGGGCCAAGGGGCCAGGAGGCCAACTCCCTGCAGAGATGAAGAGATTGTTTGCAGCAAGAGCTGGGGGAAACTTGAGCCCAGGGCAGTGAGCACCCACAGCAGGTTGGGAGAAGCTCCCTGGAGAAAGGAGAGGAAAGTTACTGCTTTCTCCACATTTCCCCAAAGTTTGATGCAAGGGGTGACCAGGACACTGGAGATCTCAGGATAGACTGACTGGTGTAGTTGACGGGGGTAGACATTTTCACCATCACCACCACCACCATCACCATCATCATCATCACCATCACCTTCACCATCACCACCACCATCATCACCATGACCTTCACCACCACCATCTCCACCTTCACCACCACCACCACCATCAGCACCACCATCTCCACCTTCACAACCACCATCACCGCCACCACTACCGCCACCATCACCATCATCACCACCACCATCTCCACCTTCACCACCATCACCACCACCACCACCCTCATCACTACCACAACCATCGTCATCACTGGAAAATACTGAAAAGTGCTGAACAAAATCCAACACACAGACTTCTTGTGATCTTGTTGCCCGTTTGGAGAGAAAATTATAACATTGCAGAATATATGGCTTTGTATCCTGCTACCTTCTGATGTTGAGTTATATTTATTTCCCACATACCACTGTACACATTCATTCTTTAACTATTTACAGTATTAACTTATTCTTAAAAATATGAAGTACCTGGCTCAGGTATAAAAAGGGTATATTAAAAGGGTATAAAAGTGCAGTCTGCGCCAGGACCCCTGCTCCACACTCACCCAGAGGCGGCCGCGGCTCCTTTCAGGGTCATGTCCCCTTGGCGACATTTTAGGTACAGACAGGATAGCATGTGTGTGCCTGAGTTATTAACTATTTTTAATGAGCAAAATATTAGCAGCAGCCTCAAACTATCAGCATAAGTCCTCTTTCACCTAGCAGCATATCTTGGAAATCATTCTATAGTGGCCTATTCTAGTTTAACATTTGTGTAGTCTTTACTATCTAGCAGACACTGTCCTTCAGTGGCAGAATATATCGATCCCTTCAATCCTCGCAACAACCCTTTTGTGTAGGCACTGTTATCGCTGCAGAGGCTCGAGGTGGGGCAGGCCTTGCCCACGGTCACACAGCTGCTGAGTGGGTCGTGTGCCTCTGCTCCACACTCTGCAGTGTGGCCCCTGCCTACCCCGCCCTGCCAAAGCACAATGACCAGCATCCCCATTCTTCATCACGTTGCATCCTGTGCCATTGCACGTCGGTGTCATAATTGATTTAAAAGGGTCTGTTGAGCCCTGGAT